TCATTGAAACCAGACCCTAGTCACTGTGTTGCCTAGAGTCGGGTTTTCAAGACTAGGGTTTTAGCCAAGGCAGCAAGGGGGAAATGCCACACACTCATTCGTTCACATACACAAACAAACACAGGCTGGTGTGAGAGAGAGAGAGAGAGATGGATGGAGAGAAGGGAGCAGTTGATCGAAGAGAGAGACGAAACGAGAGCGAGGAGAGCCAGAGAGGATTGACGGAGGAGAGGAGAGAGAGGAGAGCAGAGAGTGAGAGAGAGAGGAGAGAGAGAGACGAGAGAGGAGGAGAGAGAAGCAGACGAGAGGAGAGAGTGGACCGGAGAGGAGAGAGAGAGAGAGAGAGACTATATGTGTTAATTGTGTAATGTTTCTTGTTCAGTGTGTGTTGCCTTACAGCAGAGGTTCACAAACTTTTTCACCCAGGCCCCACCTCCAGCACTGGGGAACATTACTACAAAATCTATGGGCCAGAAAACCTAGCTAAAAAAACATTAGCTGACATGGGCTAGTTGATCTGGACATTACTGACAAGTTATAAATAACTCTCTAAGGTATGCAATGACTGACATGACAAGAGGAAAATTGATGATGCATTATCCAATTTCGAAATTGCACCTTATGCATTCTACTGTTACAACTTTAAAGAGTAAGTTGAAAGCCGGACTGAGTTCCTTACATTTTTTTGCGGGGGAACCACTGCCTTATAGAACCTATTGGACTGCCTTTCAGCTCTGTGGGACATGAACAGAGGCATCGACAGCTCTTTCAATGTGAAGTACCATGAGCCTTCCATTTTGTCGATATAGTATATAACCTCTCTGGACTCGGCATGCCGTACAGAGTAGAGCTCTATGTTATTGCGATAGCGGCCAAAGTGGATAGCTGTAGATCGATTTGCCCACTGCTGTCGGGTTGTTGCACTAAATAAGTGCCTTTTACATCCCTTTGATATTTTAAGTAGAAATAGTGCACCAATATTGCATTTTAAAAGCCTGTTAATTTAGACCACATGGAAACTTCAATAATAATACAAAAAATGAATAAAGACTTGCTAAAGTGCCAAAAGTCAGCAGCATTTGATAAAGTCATTTCTGAAGATTATTATTTATTTCTTATGATTAATGTTTCCAATTTTTGGTTTAATAAAATAATATTTCCCTCATTTTAAGGTCATCCCTGTTGTTTTAATATGGTGAAACTATTAAAGGTCAACCCTGTTGTTTTAATATGGTGAAACTATTAAAGGTCAACCCTCTTGTTTTAATATGGTGAAACTATTGCTTTTTAAATCATTGTTTCTGAAGAAACATTGAACATCTAATAGTCAAATCATAGTGTAAAAGCAGGTGAGCTGGTTCTACTTTTTGGGGGCATTTTTTTGTGTTTCGTGGTGGAAAACGAGCATAACACAACAACCTGTTAGATAGACAGGCTAGAAATGTTTTCACAATTATCATTTTTGTCAATTGCCTCTCCATGTTACACACAACAAGCTTCCATTCCCCCTGTCACAAGAGTATTTATGGCTGATTTAAGATGAAATCACACACACAATACTGTTACGGTCAACCCTGTTACTTTATTTGGCACTTAATATGTACTTACTATGTTTTTTTCTTATTTAAACCTCTTGTGATGGGAAAACTTGTTTTTCATTTAGTTGAACATGTGCTCCTTATGACAAAAGGCACCTAATTGGTGGAACGAGCCTGTAAGTGTGGATGGGGCAAAGAAATAAGGCAATTTCCTGAATCCAGCTCATTTTGATGCAATGCTTTCCAATTGTGCCCTCAGAACAGGATGTTGTCCAAGAAAAAAAGAGTAACAGCACAAATCTCAAAGTGCTAGTATATTATTAGGGTGTGAGCTTGATCGCTTGCATTCGTGCATGGGTATATGTGCGCACTGTGCAGCAAGCCATTACAGTCATTGTACAGTATTTATACTGGCAGGTAGTTGCAAGAGGGTAGAACGTTTATGATCTGATGAACAAAACTATTAAAGGCATCAGCGAGGTTGCACAGAGTTCCCATTATAGAGCATTAATTCACTATCATATACACGCACAAACATCAGATGGGACAACCCAAGGGCATTTCAGAAAATGGCTCAGTGACGAGCCCACCAGAAGGAGGAGAGGACCAAGATGCCTATATTTATGTATGTATGCAGGTGCATGGCAGTTTACAGTATCTGCCGTGACTCAGACTCTGAGGTCAGGCAGGTCTGTTTCTCATGGGATCTCCCATATGGTGACCCTGACAGCTGGGCGCTTCCTGAGGTGGAAAGTTAGAGAGAGGAAGTGGAGAATCAAGGTTCTTCCTCTTTAAACAATTAGCATTTGTTTTGTCATGATACAAGCTACATTTCTTTAAGAGTAAATGTAACTCTCACACATTGAGATGTACAAAGTGTAAATTGAATGTTGGATTTGAGAGGACACAAATGGGTAATAATAATAATACTGTATATGTATTTTATATAGAGTGTTTCATTACATAAGGAATCTCAATGTCGCTGTAAAAACAAACCCAAAAATGTCATGTTGAGGAAGATGTGATGAGAATGTCATGACCCCTTGCCATTGCAAGAGAACTGGTGAAGAAGGGTAGAGGGGTGGTGGGGAGAAGGGAGAAGGGAGAAGGGCAACCAAACGGAAATCCCTGGATGTTGGAGAGAGGACGGAGTGACAAAATTGGCAGTCATGCAAACTGACACCTAAGATAGATGAAGAGATGTTTGAACAAGCTTGATTGGACAGTATAAACATTACATCAAACTAAATGTGATTGCTACATGGTGGAGCACTTGAATGGTGGTGTGCTTGGACTTGGCCAATTAAAATGTTAATAAATGCAAAGTATTACAGGAAAGAGTGCCATGCAATGCTATAGTTTGCTGTACTGTACTGTAGTATTGTGCAACACTGTAATTTGATCCGTTTTTTTATCCTTCAATGTGAAATTCATAGCTGCAGGAACAAGCAGTATTTTAGGAGTGGTGTGTGTGTGTGTGTGTGTGTTACATTCAATTAAAATCCTGACCTTGGGTTTTAGTTAATTAATCCTAGATGTATTAGGGCAATCTGCAAAATCAAATGACTTGACCTGAGGTTTTAATTATGAATACTTATTTTTTATGAATTATTACCACACAGAATATTAACTAGCAACACCTACATGTACTTATGCAAACGTCGCAGTCCAACTCAATTTCCTATTACAGTGGCTCCTCCTAAACTAATGTGAGATTCATGACATGAACTCCAACTCCAACCACTGTAGGTGGTGTTTACCTAGAGTTGCCTCTTCGTCACCACCTTCCATCCCTTTGGATACTCGTCCAAGACCTCTGAGTCACATTAAAGGAAAGAAAAAAAAACTGTCTGCCATATAACGGTTTGTCACTGGGGAGGGTGAGTGTGACTCAGAGTTTCTCTCACGGAGGTAGTTCCATGTTAACAACTTTGCCCCCCCCCCAACATTTCCACCACCACTCTAAGAAGTTGGTGTAGAAGAGAGCAGAGATGGGGGTATACATAAAGATCCATAGCACCTTAAGGTGACCTTCCCCGGAACAGCACCAAGCCTCATCCCTACTTTTGTGTTCCCAAAATGCAAACATGGTGTTATTTGTCTTGACAGGTCTGTCACCAAAGCACAGCCCAAGTGCTCTCTCTTCATATGCGCTAGAATTATCCAGAAATCCACATGGGTGCGTTGTGTGGGTCTTCAGCTCTTACAAGGATGGAGCAATGAGGTAATAAAACAAGGACTACTAGCTCATGACTTGTATTTTCCCCAACAACATTTTCGAAATAATATCATCCGTATTCTGCATGAAAATAAAAACCATGAATGCTTTGTTATTCCACTGAACTGTGGATTTCTAGGTTCAGATAAGAAGCAGATATAAACACAATCTTGTTGGCAGCTGTACTTTCATATAAAGTTTGCACTAACACTTAGAGACAGGGCCATGACAACATAACAACTACTAAGTTATGACACAAACATAACAATCATGCAAAAAGTATGACTGAAGACTTTGTCCTCTAACACACTGTGACAGTAGCCTGAGCAAATGATGTTTCAGTCAAGGTCACTGCAAGTACACTGAAGTTTGTTTGGACAATTTATCCTTCACATGATTACTAGTGATGGGGTTGGTCCTGCTGAAAACAGCCGTGCGAACGGCAACATCTAATCAACATCAAAACAGGAAGAAGTCAGTCTAAAATTGTGCTTTAGATAGATATGAATATGGAGACTATTTATCTAATGAACTGTAGTTCCTTTAATGGAGCAAAAACATGTTTCAAATCCAGCTTGTGGGACCAATACTTTGCATGCCTAACACTGGAAGGGTAACACAGACACTTTCTCAGAACTGCGCACAGAGTCAAATTTGCTGTGAATGGCTTTATTTATAGATACAATTACAAAACAAGCAAGCAATGTGCAAAAACAATATTATCCATACATAAATAACCATACATAACTAATATAGTATTCATAAAAATATACTGAAATGCATCATTACATTTAGCAGCCAGCAACTGATCCTGAAATAAATAAAACTACAAATAAGGATGAGGTGTACAATACATGTCATTGGTCAGGTTGATTGTAGAAGGTGGTTACGTAAGCAACATACCAAGGTGAAGGGCTTTGTCTCTTTCACTAAAACACACAAGCACCTATTGGTGGAGTCATTCTTTTTATGAAGAGATAGTGCCACCATCGCATTAGAGATATGCTATGCTGTGATTACCTGTCTGATGCAATACCAGAGGTGCTCTGTCTTTTACAGAACATACAGTTTACTGTACTGTCCTACTGAATGATCCTATGCTAGGAGTGCTAGGAGTTACAGTGAATGTGTGCATTTAATAAGAGGACTTTACTACTCTTACACATTTGTTGCCTAGTCTAATAAGTATAGATATGTGAAGAGTTATTGCCCCCACTGATGGCCCAATTAAAATGATACAAGAATAAGTATAATTTGACCCCTACACACATTTTTTAAAACTTTTTCATAATAAATTACATTTCTGAGATTATTTCAAACACACACAAGATACTTTCTTCATCCAGAGGACTAATGCAGATTTTGTGCACTTCAGCATTAATCCTTCATATCACACGATCAGCATCATTAACACCAAGGTGTGAGAGGTGAAGGCAAAGAGGTGTATATAGCACACACCATCTGGTGGAAGGTGGAGTAGTCCATTGGAAGTCATGCTGAAACCCTGACTTGAGATACACGCTAACTTTCTTATAAATCATATTGATGATATTGGAGGATTTGTGAGAAAGTTAATGTTGTGCAGCTTTCCCTCAGATCAGGATCATACCATTAGAGGCAATAAGGAAGGTCCGTAAACAAAAACTGGAAACTGAATCGATATTTTTTAAATATACAAAAGGCGAGAGCATTGCTGGTGGGGAGTTATAAAACAATCATACTAATACCAAGCATACGCAGTACAAAAGAAGTTTGACTGACTAGACTCACTGAGATTTACCCTCCATTGTTTCTTCAATAACCGACCTCCATTTTGAAAATGTAAATTAGAACATATCTAAATATTACTGTGTGCAGTTCAGGAAGTTTAGCTGTGGCGACCATTGATGACGTTCCCCCCAGGAGGAGCGATGTGGATGGAGTCCAGTATAGGCCGGAGTATCTGACCAAAGGGTCTAAATGGTTAGAGAGAGGAACAGGGTACAGGGTCAGAGAGGTACACAAGTCAGTACTGCATTGCTAGTATCTGTCGCTCAGCTACTAAGTATGTATACTCACGTGGAGAGCACTTCGGAGGGCAAGTCTGTGATGTAAGAAGGGATCTTCCGGCCTGTTAAGAACTGGGCCACCTCATTAGTGAAGGTGTTACAGTTGTGCTCAAACAACCTGTACTTGTCGCCTCTATGGAAGAACAAGAACAGAAAGAAATCTCAGATCTAAATCAGCCATCACTGCTATGTTGTGTTCATGGCTGATGTGTCCACCAAGGTGGTGGTGGAGGAGGTGAGTTACCCAAAAACAATACTTTTTTTGTGACACACACACCTGTATGTGTCCTCTCCTAGCGAGGACAGGTAGTCCATGAAGATCTCCTCTGTCACCTCTGTGTTTCCCAATTCCACCACAGTGTCTGGGGAACCAAGCATTGTTCCCCCCTAAAACACATAAAGTCCATATTATCCTACAAAACACCAACCCCCAAAACGTCCCTGTATATCCTATGCGTTTAACTTCCCTCCTCTTTGAAGGTCATACCAATGTAGGCCTAGTCTTACTGTCAGCTAGTGTAAACCTATGATAAAGAGTAGAGGGCACACTGAAGTAGGTCTTAGCAAATATTAGGAGGATATTAGCCAATACATCATTTTAGGCTTACCGGTGAGCAACTGGAAATACCCACTCCTCCAAAGTAGAACTCGTCTCCATAAACCACAATGGCTGAGTGCCTGTTAGAAACACAGGAATGAGTGTACAGGAGTGGATGGTTACAATATAACTTAGATGTTGGACATGAAAATAATCATTTGAAGAATTGCAGAGTGACAGTAAAGACAATAATAGCCTATTGGTGTTCTTAATGATATTAGCTTGATGTGTGGATTAATTGTATTGTCACAAAATTATAGGTGGGAGAATTCTTACCAAATGCCATCAAGTTGTTTTCCTGTAACACATTAAAATATATATGTGGGACGGAGGCTTGATGCTATTGATGTGCATGTATGTCAATCAAGCTCGCACACACCTCTTGTCTTGTGTAGCTAGCTAGCATTTTAGCTAACGTAAACGTAATATTGTTGAGCTGAAATTCTGAAGAATAAGCCTTTGAATAGCTAGGCTATACTATATAAACCAAGCTCAAACTTACTTCAATTGACAGGTTGTAGCGAACTAGCTAGAAAGTTAATAATGATAGTTTTTTTTTAAAGAATTCATTGCAAGAGTAATGTTAGCCAGGTAACTAGCTAGCCATCAGCTGGATCAAAGGCCTGCCGACGTGCTCAATCAATCTCAACCGGCAGCTAGCTAGCTACACAGCCTCATTATCTGGTTAAGATGTCGAGACTGAGCTTCACTTACCTAACATGATGGGGCTGAGATTGCGAGCCATTCCTCTTGATAGGTCGTATATATACAGTTGTACACTGTATGTTGTTGTGTAATTTTTATCCATTTCGATAAACCCCAAAATGTATGTTTGTGTTTATGTTAGCTAGCTAAGCTAACAGTAACGTTAGCTATCTTGCGGTTAACTTGCCTTTCTACTGACTGCTGATTAGATAGTTTTGCAACATTGCTGTCCACTGAAAAATGTCACGAGATTATATTATCAGCTAAATTACCTGAACGTTGTACCTATGACGTTAGATGTCTGATTATAACCTACAGTGGTCTAATGTGCCACTCGGGAGGTTCATATCTCATATTGCTGTTTTTAGCCTGTTTGTTTACTTGAACAACATCGTACCTTTCTACACTTGTGAAAGTCACCACGAAGGTTTAGCCCTATCTTCAAACACCATCAACATGTAAGACTTGCCACAACCAAAACCAAGGCAGCTTTTATTAATGGGCCAGCAGTTATGAGGTGAAAGTGCATCAGCATCTTCATTCCTCACCATAGTTGGGGGTAATGTGATTTTCCTCCACCAAGTCTAAAGCAAGTAAATACAATACGCCCATATTTCTGTGTGTATTATCGTTGCACTTGAGTCTTCAAGCTTCAGATCGAAGGGCATAGTGATTGCGGTGTTGTGACCATCAATCATGGAATTTGACCACAAAAAAAACATGGATTGCAATTCGAGACTTCACAAGATTTTGACAGGTGAGTTAAGGGTTCTAACAAATGTCTCATATACAACTATTTTTACATTAGTATACTTTTGGTTGGCATTACAAAACCCTCAACATATTTGGATATGGATCCATCAGGAGCTTGTAGTTCACTCCCACTTTGTTCACCCACAGGTTTACTCACTAACTACATACAGTGCCTTTCATAAGTATTCACCCCCCTTGGATTTCTTCACATTTTATTGTGTTACAAAATGGAATTAAAATGAATTTAATTGTCTTTTTTTTTTTCAACGATCTACACAAAATACTCTGTAATGTCAAAGTGGAAGAAAAATCCATTTTATTTTTAGATTAATGAAAAATAAAACACTAATATACTGTATCTTGATTAGATAAGTATTCACCCCCTGAGTAAATACATGTTAGAAACACCTTTGGCTGCAATTACAGCTGTGTCTTATTAGGTAAGTCTCTAAGAGCTTTGCACACCTGAATTGTGCAATATTTGCTCATTATTTTCAGAATTCTTCAAGCTCTGTCAAGGTGTTGAGGGTCATGGCTAGACAACAATTTTCAAGTGTTGCCGTGGATTTTCAAACATATTTATGTCAAAACTGTAACTTGCCCACTCAGGAATATTGGTAAGCAACTCTAGTGTAGATTTGGCCTTGTGTTTTAGGTTATTGTCCTGTTGAAAGGTAAATTCCTCTCCCAGTGTCTGGTGTAAAGGAGACTGAAGCAGGTTTTCCTCTAGGATTTTGCCTGTGCTTAGCTCCACACTGTTTCTTTTTATCCTGAAAAATCTCCCCAGTCTTGTTGTAGCTAACTAGCTAGTCATTGCCTATGTCAAGCATACCTATACCATGACGCAGCCACCACCATGCTTGGAAATAAGGAGGTAGTTACTCAGTGATGTGTTGGATTTGCCTTGAACATAAGGCATTGTATTACTTTAGCAATGCATGTTTTGGAATATTTGTATTCTGTATATTTGTATTATTCTTTTCAATCTGTCATTTAGGTCATTATTGTGGAGTCACTACAATGTTGTTGATCGATCCACAATTGACTCCCATCACAGCCATTGAACTCTGTAGCTGTTTTAAAATTACCAATGGCCTAATGGTGACATCCCTGAGCAGTTTCCTTACTGTCCTGCAGCTCAGTTCAGAAGGATGACTGTATCTGGGTGGTTTAATATATAATCCACAGCATAATAATTAACTTGACCATGCTTAAAGAGACATTCAATGTCTGATTTAGTTGTTACCCATCTACCAATCACTGCCCTTCTTTATGCGGCTTTCGAAAAGCTCCCTGGTCTTTGTAGTTGAATCCATGCTTGAAATTCAATACTTGACAGAGGGACCTTACAGATGTTGTATGGCAGACAGGGGAAGGGGTAGTCAGGAAAAATAATGTAAATCCCTATTATTTCACACAGTGAGTCCATGTAAATTTTACTCCTGAACTAATTTATACATTTACATTTTATTTTCACTTTGACATTATCAAGTATTTTGTGTAGATCAATGAAAAAAAAAACATCACACAATTCAATATATTTAAATCACAATTTGTAACGCAACAAACGGAAAAAAAAACAAGGAAGGTGAATACTTATGATACCCACTGTAAAGGGCTCTACACGGTCTACGCAAACGGAGCCGACGGAGGTCCGTTTGCATCGCGTTCCAAAAATTGTCACATAAATGTACGTAGAACTACGTAGAGAGCGACGCAAACGGACCTCTATCGGCTCTGTTTGCGTATACTGTGGAGACCACTTAAGGATTGCGATGTAAAAACTCTAGAAAAGAGACTGCTCACAGCCCATAAGTCATATTGGAACCTGTGATTGAACAATGCTGTATATTTACATTTACATTTTAGTCATTTAGCAGACGCTCTTATCCAGAGCGACTTACAGGAGAGTTTATATCAGTGTTATACTATATCACAAAATGAAAACGTAATAGGGGTGCCAATATAGCACTGTGTTTGTGTGTGCACACATTCGCTTGTGCTTGCATGAGTCATGCGTATGTGTGTCCTGCCTGTTTTCATTTACATGTTCAGTCCAGTAGAGCAATCAACGCAACAATCAACGTATCATGTATTATCAATTTCGGAACGATATAAACAGTAGTATCGCCACAGTATCAAACTGGAGGTTAAAGTAGGTCAAAGGTTAAAGTAGAGAGGTTGATCTACCAACACATTTACATTTAAGTCATTTAGCAGACGCTCTTATCCAGAGCGACTTACAAATTGGTGCATTCACCCTATAGCCAGTGGGTTAACCACTTTACAACCATTTTTTTGGGGGGGGCTAGAAGGATTACTTCATCCTATCCCAGGTATTCCTTAAAGAGGTGGGGTTTCAAATGTCTCCGGAAGGTGGTGAGTGACTCCGCTGTCCTGGCGTCGTGAGGGAGCTTGTTCCACCATTGGGGTGCCAGAGCAGCGAACAGTTTTGACTGGGCTGAGCGGGAACTATGCTTCCGCAGAGGAAGGGGAGCCAGCAGGCCAGAGGTGGATGAACGCAATGCCCTCGTTTGGGTGTAGGGACTGATCAGAGCCTGAAGGTACGGAGGTGCCGTTCCCCTCACTGCTCCATAGGCAAGCACCATGGTCTTGTAATGGATGCGAGCTTCAACTGGAAGCCAGTGGAGTGTGCGGAGGAGGGGGATGACGTGAGAGAACTTGGGAAGGTTGAACACCAGACGGGCTGCGGCATTCTGGATGAGTTGTAGGGGTTTAATGGCACAGGCAGGGAGCCCAGCCAACAGCGAGTTGCAGTAATCCAGACGGGAGATGACAAGTGCCTGGATTAGGACCTGTGCCGCTTCCTGTGTAAGGCAGGGTCGTACTCTCCGAATGTTGTAGAGCATGAACCTGCAGGATCGGGTCACCGCCTTGATGTTAGCGGAGAACGACAGGGTGTTGTCCAGGGTCACACCAAGGCTCTTCGCACTCTGGGAGGAGGACACAACGGAGTTGTCAACCATGATGGCGAGATCATGGAACGGGCAGGCCTTCCCCGGGAGGAAGAGCAGCTCCGTCTTGCCAGGGTTCAGCTTGAGGTGGTGATCCGTCATCGATACTGATATGTCGGCCAGACATGCAGAGATGCGATTCGCCACCTGGTTATCAGAAGGGGGAAAGGAGAAGATTAGTTGTGTATCGTCAGCGTAGCAATGATAGGAGAGGCCATGTGAGGATATGACAGAGCCAAGTGACTTGGTGTATAGGGAGAAAAGGAGAGGGCCTAGAACTGAGCCCTGGGGGACACCAGTGGTGAGAGCACGTGGTGCGGAGACAGCTTCTCGCCACGCCACTTGGTAGGAGCGACCGGTCAGGTAGGACGCAATCCAGGAGTGAGCCGCGCCGGAGATGCCCAGCTCGGAGAGGGTGGAGAGGAGGATCTGATGGTTCACAGTATCAAAGGCAGCAGACAGGTCTAGAAGGACAAGAGCAGAGGAGAGAGAGTTAGCTTTAGCAGTGCGGAGAGCCTCCGTGACACAGAGAAGAGCAGTCTCAGTTGAATGACCAGTCCTGAAACCTGACTGGTTTGGATCAAGAAGGTCATTCTGAGAGAGATAGCAAGAGAGTTGGCTAAAGACGGCACGCTCAATAGTTTTGGAAAGAAAAGAAAGAAGGGATACTGGTCTGTAGTTGTTGACATCAGTGGGATCGAGTGTTGGTTTTTTGAGAAGGGGTGCAACTCTCGCTCTCTTGAAGACGGAAGGGACATGGCCAGCGGTCAAGGATGAGTTGATCAGCGAGGTGAGGTAGGGGAGAAGGTCACCGGAGATGGTCTGGAGAAGAGAGGAGGGGATGGGGTCAAGCGGGCAGGTTGTTGGGCGGCCTGCAGTCACTAGTCGCAAGATTTTATCTGGAGAGAGAGGGGAGAAAGAAGTCAAAGCATAGGGTAGGGCAGTGTGAGCAGGACCAGCAGTGTCATTAAACTTAACAAACGAGGATCGGATGTCGTCAACCTTCTTTTCAAAGTGGTTGACGAAGTCATCCACAGAGAGGGAGGAGGGGGGGGGAGGATTCAGCAGTGAGGAGAATGTGGCAAAGAGCTTCCTAGGGTTAGAGGCAGATGCTTGGAATTTAGAGTGGTAGAAAGTGGCCTTAGCAGCAGAAACAGATGAAGAAAATGTAGAGAGGAGGGAGTGAAAAGATGCCAGGTCGGCAGGGAGTTTAGTTTTCTTGCATTTCCGCTCCGCTGCCCGGAGCTCTGTTCTGTGAGCTTGCAATGAGTCATCAAGCCACGGAGCTGGAGGGGAGGACCGAGCCGGCCGGGAGGATAGGGGACACAGGGAGTCAAAGGATGCAGAAAGGGAGGAGAGGAGGGTTGAGGAGGCAGAATCAGGAGATTGGAGGGAGAAGGATTGAGCAGAGGGAAGAGATGATAGGATGGAAGAGGAGAGAGTAGTGGGAGAGAGAGAGCAAAGGTTGCGGCGGCGCGTTACCATCTGTGTAGGGGCAGAGTGAGTAGTGTTGGAGGAGAGCGAGAGAGAAAAGGATACAAAGTAGTGGTCGGAGACATGGAGGGGAGTTGCAGTGAGATTAGTAGAAGAGCAACATCTAGTAAA